GGTTCTTTATTTCAGCTTTATGTAAATATATGAAGCTGATACACTACATACTCTGCCATATATTTAAAAATAAATATGATAATTATATAAAGATATGATTAGTTGAAGGTTGTTTTTGTTATTTCAGATCACCCTGCGAGTGAAAGAGTCTGAGGTCCAGTGTCTGAAGCAGGAGATCACATCTCTGAAGGATGAACTGCAGTCAGCCCAGAGGGTGAGAATCAGTAAACACCAATGAACTGATACATTGACATTATACATATTGATCACCTGTATGCTCAGAAATTTGGATTGTAAGCCATTGTATAAAAATCTGTGTTATATGGTGACTTAAATGAAATTAAATTGAGTTTGGACCAGAAGCCCAGTATAAGAACATTTATAAAAATATCTATTTTTAATAGCGATTTAAAAGAGAATATCTGTAGGGAGTTTGTTCTTTTCTAACAGAAAAGGCCTGGTTGCCTTGGATGAGGACGCAAAGTAAGAAAGTAAAAAAAATTTGCATCCAGACCAGAATTCTATGGGCTTTTCCCAGGGTCCATCTGAGGTGGAAATCGGTTTTATGTTTTTTTCATAATCCTGCTAATAAATAACCAAACAGGTGAAAACATAACCTCACTGGTGGAGGTGAAACATAACGGCCCATATCTCTGTGATGTTTCAGGACAAGAGGAACGCCACAAAGAAGTACAAGGACATGTTCACAGAGCTGAGCATCGTCAGAGCCAAAACTGACAGAGAGGTGGACGAGCTGAGAGAAAACCTGAGGCTGGCTCATCAGGCTCTGGACCAGACTTCCCCCTGAATTTATCCATTTTCACAACACTTGTTTTCACTGCGACATAAAATACTTTACCCTCAGTATTATTCTCAAAACAAAAATATCTGGAAGATTTATTGTCAACCTCACTCTGTTTTTTTTATTCTCACAGTTTTGGAGATAAAGATGATCACTGTGTCACTCACTTCTAGACCATGTATTTAACACTGTTTGTGATTTAGCTCAGTTCTTCCTGTGATCGTCAAACATCTATTTAAATTGTTTTTTTTATTTTGTCTTTGCCCAAACATCACCATTTACTGTTTGTGTTGTGTATATATAGTATTTTATCTGTACAACCAGGTTTTTATATTTCAATATAATTTGCACAGTTGCATGTTTAGATGCTGTTTTCCAGCCTCTCGTCACTGCTGTATATTTCTTATTCAATAATAAAATAATTTAAATTAAACATGTTTCCTGCAGGTAACTTTATCCATTGAAGACAAACTGTAATTTATATTATTACACTTCAGTATAACTAATTCAAAATTCAACTCCACTGCCCAGAGGAATTAAAACCTCAAAGATAAAGGTAAGGCAAGAGGTAATATTTCAAAATAAAACACCTCACAAACATCGACGTGTTAAATTATTTCAACAGGTGTATTACGGTTGTCTAAGTTTTTAATGTCACATGCTCCACAGCAATGTACAAAAATACTTAATGAAATAAAACATTGAGAATAAGAACCAAATAAGAAATGAATATTTTAAAAAAATGTTGTGTAAACAATGACACGAAAGTTAAAGTAAAACATATCTCATTCACTACCTGCATATGTTAAGTAACTTAAAATACCAAAATCAATTGTTCACACACTGTCAACATTGAGTTTGAATGTTTGTTTTGACCCAGTGATATTTTATATGATTGTTATTTATGGTTTATTTACACAACTTAGATCAAAGTAGCTGGTTATATAGACAAACAAACTAAACAAGCTTAAGTTTTACTTTAAAATGGTTATTAGTTGTAGAAAATTATGTTTTTATGATATTTAAATTGGCAGAAAATACACACGTGTATCATTATTATAACAGTAGCAGCAATAGATCATACAAACATAGTGGAAATGTAAAATAGAAGATGAAAGAGTCTTTGGTGGTTGCACCCACTGGTAGAGTTGTGTAACAGTAGTGCTGTATTGTGAGAAGAAAAAGAAGATGCTCTTGGTCGTTAGTTCAGTTTAAGTTCAGGTTCATCATTAGCCTTTTGAAATAAGACCAAGTGGACTGTGATAAAAGAGATAGAGATTGTTTCCAGACAACAGCACATAAGCATCAAAAGAAATGAATTAGCAGAAGATCAGGAGCAAAGCAAACCACAAAAAGAAGCATGCTGATGTGACAGTGAACTTGGCAAAGACTAGACAGTAAATACAACCAGAGTCAGATCTGATCAAAAGGACTGAACAGCTCATTAGTCACATTTGGAAAACATAAAGAAGAGAAGAAGAGGAGGGTTGTGCTTCATTGTCAAAGATGGACATGAGAGAAAAGATCTCAAAGCTTTGATGGATGAAAATGTTTTATGGAACATTCTGAAAAGGAAAATGGATCAGAATCATCTTTACTGTCAAAATGTGAAATTTTATTTTTTTTAAATGGTTTCTCTGACTTAACCACAATAGTATATAGTACACAGTACCCCATGCATGCAGCAACATTATTATTATTATTATTTTTAGTAATAGTAGTAGTAGAAGTGGTAGAAGTAGTTTTGCTGTGTCAATGGTGGAACGAGCCCCCAATGACACCAGGACAGCAGAAAGTCTACAGTTCTTCCGATGTAGACTAACGACACATCGCTTCCGACTACACCTTGGTGAAGAAGATGATGTCTA